TCTTTGTCTGTGTCTGTCTCTGCTCGCCCTTTCTCCTTTTTTTTTTTTTTTTTTCAATTTGTCACTTTGTGCTCTGTGTCAGGTTGCCTACAACATTTTTTTTTTTTTGCGGGCGTAGCCCGCGCCGTCTGCACCGCGGGCGCTTAGCTAGTGATGATTATGACTGAGAATGCAACCTGAAAATTATTTTATCGGGCGTGTCCCGATCGGCCTCATCAGGACCTGAGCAGCTACTTCCACCTGAACTGACACTCCCTCATTGCCACGGGTTACAGGGCAGCACAACTCACCCCAGCGAGCTACCAGTGTGGACTGACCCTGGCCATCCTCTTCAGGTCACTGAAAGTGATGGCAAGCGTGGAACTTGTATGGTTCTTGATTTCAACTCAGTCGAACAATCTATGCATAAGGGAGTCTGAGAGGAATTTCAGAAACAATAGGCTGTATAACAGTCAAGCCCTCGGGTCCTCCCTAATAAGGAGTAATGAATGTTTGTTAGAGATTCTTTGGAATGAAGCATGGGTGTATTAATGTACATTCTCATTACTTGCTGATGAAAAAAGAACCAGACTGATGGTCCCAAGCATGGAAAACATGCTTGCTAAAATTCTCGTTGGAGATTGTGCAAGCATTATGTGCCCAACTGAGCGAGGGCATCAAAGCAGAGCATGGAGTAAACTCGAACCTGTGGTGGCGAGTATAATCGGTAGGGGAGTTTGCAACAAACCTCCCAAAGAAGGTGTTCTCCGTGTATACCATGGGTATAACGAGGTGCTTCAAAATCGTCCCCATGGATGATACGGAGCACATTTGCTGGCCACTGTCCGCTTCTCCATACACTGTGCCATGCAATATAGAAGGGAGAGGAGCACAAATGACTTGGCCAGGGTTGGCCAGGGTGAGATTCGATCGTAACAGTAAGATGGCTCCCTCGTGGACTGACCCTAAGGCTGTGAAGGAGGACCGCATGATCTTTGATGAAGAGGAGTTGATAGGGGTGTCAAAATGGTGTACCTCGAAAAGTTGGGTGCTGGGAGCATATGCACGGAGACAGGTACTTGGCATTCCCATTGGACACACCTGCTCACCCATATGGTGCCATGCATACTTTTGCTAGTAAGAGTGCACGAGTCAGCACGACAGTGATTAGATTGGTCATTCGGGTAAGCTTGAATTGGTTGAATGCAGCAAAGATACTTTGAGATATATGGAGTATTATGGACAACTTGACAATCCTTAGCAATACGATCATCCGAGACTGCCTACCAGATGGGAATGGTGTTGAGGGGATGCCAGGACCAATCTCTTCTAGGCAATTCATAGAGATGTAATTACCCGCCACAAACACACACTGAGAACACTGCTGATTTCTGGGATTTGCCGCTGGAATGAATGCCTTGCTGAGATTCCCGCATTCTGTTGTGGTTTCCAAGTCTGTGTGTGTGTGTGTGCCTGGTGGTTTGCATGCCTGTCTGAGTGCTTGTCGACTGAGTGTGTGTGTGACCTGCAAGGGTACTTGTTGGTTGAAAGGCCCCGCAGGGCCGGTACTTACCTGTGGCCGTGACTTTGAGGGTTGCAGCGCGGAAAACACTCAAGTAGCGGGGGTTGGCCCGTGGCACTTAGAGCAGCGGGGAAAAACACTCAAGTAGCAGATAGGCCGGTACCACTCAAGTAGTGGTAGGAGTGTCGGGTACTAGAGGCCGAGCAGAAGAAGACACAAAGTTGGCATTTTTTAGAGGCCCAGTAGCGGTAGGATAGAGGTAGGCCGGTACCAGTCCAAGTAGCCTGAGTCTAGGGCCTGTCCGGACGATAGCAGGACCTGCAATGATGTTTCCCTCTGAAAGGGAGGTACCGGTTGCTGGGAGGCCACTCGGCCTAGGAAGTCACCGCCCAAGAGGCCCGTAGGCCGCTATATCTTCCGGAGGAGCAAGTAGCTCCTCCTCATTTGCGGTATGGCGACATGCTGCTGAGCCAAGCGCTGGACTTGCACAGCGCTGCCTGGAGGTGAAGGTTAGCTGAGCGCTCAGCCTGGCTATGGCGAGCAGCCCAGCTTGAGGAGGAGGAAGAAGGGGACGAAGGAGGAGAGTGGCGAGGTACCTACTTGGCTATGGTGGACACCATCTTCATCACCTTGTTGGGCGCTGCATCTGGAAGGCCCCAGTTGGGGTAGTGCCTCACCAAGGAAGCTCGAGGCAGAGTCAGGCATGGCGGCTTAGTCAGCAGCGGCATAGCTGCTTTGGGTTGTCCTTTGGACTGGAGTGCAGCGCCATAGCTGCCTTCTGTTGTCCTTTGCACAGAGAGGGGCAGAGCCCTCAGTTGTCCGCCACAACCTAGGTTTGTGAGAGGTGGAAGAAGGGGGGAAGCCATAGAGCCATAGCTATGGTGGACCTGTTGTTGTTGTGTCAGCAGTAAGAGGGAACTTTGGATACTGATTCTGGTTCATCCACTCATTGTTATTATTATTATTGGAAGAAGAATAAGATTGGCGAAGTGAAGGAGGAAGAAGGTGGAGAGAGAAGGGGGATTTGTCATTGGTCTCGCTGGTGTACATCTTCTTCTTCTTCTTCTTCTTTTTCTTCTTCTTCTTCTTCTTCTTCTTCTTCTTCTTTCTCTCTTCTTTGGTCTCTATCTCTTTGCAAGTGCTTTCATTTCTTTCGCAATTGGGTGGCATTGTCTTTCATTGTGAATTTGTACTTTGGGAGTGACCAGTGAAACGATTTTCACCTCTTTGCAGTAGCAGACGCAGATCCCAGGGTTCGATCCCTAGACCTTGCCCTACCTGTGTACAGTATCTGTGTAGAGCCCGCGAGTTGAACCTGTGACCTGTGTGTTCGTAAACAGTTGGTAGGCTGTCATAGGTCCGTAGGTAGCAGAGGGGTTCGATCTGTAGATCTGTAGGATAGAAGTCTTAGCGAGTTCCAGAAGTCCTAGCTGTAGTCCTTCTAGAAGGTCAGCAAGTGGGCAAGTGGGCAAGTGGTGAGTCAAGTGGTGGACTAAACTGCAGTGCAATTGCAATGATTTCGGTAGGTTAGAAGTGAGTCCTCACTCAGTCAGCGGTAAGGTCCAGTCAGTCCCAAGTCCGGTCCAGCAAGTACCACAAGGGACTGTGAGCACCATGGGCCAATGGAAGAGGGCAGACCAACGAGTTTCAGAAGTATAGATCAAGAGGCAGCGCCCAGCCTTTCATTCATTCCTGTGTGAGCCATGCGGAAGTGCTGCCACAACGACTTGTGCAAGGAGGTCTGCAATGAGCCCGGAGTTGAAGTGGGCGAGAGAGAAGGAGCGTAGCATAGCGATAGGGTAGCGGCGGCCATAGCCGCCATAGCTAGAGTTAGTGTGTAGCGAGTGTGTGTGTGTGTGTGTGTGAGTTCAGAGAGTCGTGTGTGGGATATCCAGGGTGATCCAGTGTATGTGAACAGTGAGTTGTTTGGGCGCTGAGTCGCCATAGCCAATTGAAAGTAAACTCGTATCTGGATGCCATATCTCTGAGTTTTGAGTGGGCGCATGTCGCCAGTTTGCTGCGCTACTGTTTACATGCATGAAAGGTGTGAATGAGAACGAGTCTGATTGCATTGGTATCGGAGCTGCTACCCGCTATTCCATGCGCGCCGTCGTGTGCAGGGCCTGATGCGCCATAGCAGAGGTGGCCGCCGAGAGTCATAGTCCGCCATAGCGGATGCCGGACCTGAAGGTTGGAGAAGCCACCACGCACCTGCAGAGAAGACCACGACGAAGAAGAAAAGAGAGAGAGAGAGAGAGAGAGA